CTTAGACTAGGAATAGCTAAGAGCTTGTTATAAAATGATTTGGCCTTAGATTAAGAATAATTTAAGAGCATGGTTGAGATATTGAATATCAAATGACTTGAAATAAAATATTGAGAATATCGTGAATGTTTGAATCATATATTGTGTGCATGATATCAAATGGTTGATTATGAATTGAGATTCAATTTATTTGGATGTTCGACGCATTAGATATACTTACTCAGCTTCACCGCTGAGCATGTAGTGTGTTTTATTTGCTACACGCAGGTAGGTAGAATGAATGATTGGCTGATTCCTGGCAGCAGAAGGGGCGAGACAGTCGTGGTGGATCATTGAACAAAATAAATAATTATGTTGTTATGAGACATGTTTAAAAGTCACTTCCGCATTATTATTAAACACTCCGTATTTTCTACAATTATGTATGGAATATTATTTATAAATAAAAATGTTTGAAATGTTTTAAATTATCACGATTACCAAATCAATACTTTAGTCCGAAAGGGGCTGCAGACCTGGACGGATTAGGGTGTTACAATTGTAACCCTTATTGTTATCAACTTGTAAGAAGAGGTGGATGGAGTCATGGAGGAACATGTTTAGTCATGAAAAAGGATAATACCCACACTGGCTTATTATTATTATTATTATTATTCCGATTAGATCAGATGAAATCATATCTAATGATATGCAATCATATCAGACCAATCAGATCAGAATAGATCATATTAATCAGATCAAGCAGTTTGTTATCACTTGAATTCAATCAGGAGATCTCTCAAGTCTAAATCCATACTTAAATTCTTCTCTCTTTTATATAAATCTCAATCATATAATTCAATTCATTTGAATACTTGTGTTAGATGCATATTAAACACGAAGTCTTTTTTTGACACGGAAAGATAAGTACTACTCCCTCCGTTCCACAAAACTCTTCCTCTTTTATTTTTTTGCTTTCCACAAAACACTTTCACTTTCTATTAAAAAACCAGTGTTACCTCTACTTTTTCATACCTACCTATCACATCATATTTTTTCACTAATAACCAAACTATCACATCTTACTTTTTCACATCACATCAGAGGCAAAATTAGAAAGTTAACCAAAATTATGCTTTACTTATTTTTTCCCAAAGTCAAAACCGGAAGGGTTTGTGGAATGGATGGGGTACTTCGTAATTAATACTCCTTTCATCCTCACATGTTTGTTTCAATTTTTTGAGCAACGTTCATTTCGTCTCCACAAAATGAGAATAAATATTATGATACTCTTTTTGATCGGAAGTATTCTTTTTATTTTGCTTTTTACGGTCTCTAATATTGTACTTTGAGCATTAATATGTATATTTATGTATAGATATATTTTATAAAAATATGATATTTCAAAACTACATTTCAATATAAATAAATTAATATTAAATTTATATCATAATATAATGTATTTTTTCAAATATTACAGTCAAAATTTACAAACTTTGACCAGGAAAAAATAAATGGAAAAATCATTTTCAGACGGATGGAGTAAAAGTGGAAAAAAAGAAGTGAAATTATCATTAGTGTGCGTGTGGGTTGACGTATTTTTACGGAATAATATTTTAGTATTTGGAGAATTTTCCAAGTAACTACCTTTAACCTTCCAAGCATTTACATTACTCATTTAGATATTGTTATTATATTCATCATCACATTTTACATTTTTATTGTACATTTGTCATCATTTATGTATAAATAACACTCTCCCACATTTCTTCACTCCCATCAGCTCAAAGGTAAAAAAAACATTATATTCCCAATAACCAATCGCACACACACATTAATATATATATGGCACACCATTCGCCGGAGAATATGCCGGCGGCGGACCTTAAAAGGGCCATCGGAGAATTGATTCTTGGCCGGGAATTTGCATACCAACTAAGAGACGCGTTGAAGAGCGGCGGCGGGGGCCACGCTTCCGGCAATGGACGACATGGCCCGCCACCGTCGTCGTCCTCATCTAATAGTACTGTCGTTGCAAAAGATTTGGTCGCGAAGATATTGGGATCGTTCAATGAGGTTGTTTCGATTCTTGGGTCGTTGGAGTCCTCATCTGTGGAGGTTTCGCAGGCTGAGCCGCCTGGCTTCCGGTCATCGGACCTCCGGCAGGCGGCGGAGGACTTGGGTGGAACTTGGAAGACTTCTGCATGCGTTGTTGGTAGAGGAAGTTACAAGCGGAGGTGATTTTTGGGTCTTTTCATTTAATTAAGCTGAAATTATCTGAAGTAAGTTAAATCCGTAGTACTTGCATAGTCGTATACATTTGTCCAATTTTGATTTTTTTGATCTTTGACTTATAACTAAATATAATTACAAAGCTATATTAATTAGATATAGAAATATTTTTAACATATATAAATCTTCTTTTATTTAATAGTTAAAATTTATCAATTTTAGGTGCAAAAAATTAAAATGAACATAAAGTCTAGGACGGAATCAGTACATTACTTACATGGAATAATTATAACCAAAATTGTTGATCATGAATTTCAGCCTTGAAAACTTGATGAGTTAGAAAAGAATAGACTTAATATACTCTCTCCGTCCCTCAAACTCTTTCTTCTCTTTTTTTTCTTGTCCTAATAATTCCTTTCTCTTACCTGTTAAAAAACCATTTTTACCCTTTACACTTTCATACCTTACCTATCACATCATACATTTTTACTAATAATCTATTCATCACTTCTTGCTTTACCCATCACATCAAAGGTATTTTTAGAAAGTCAACACCAAAATATCTCTCTCTTAATTTCCCAAAAAGTCAATAAGTGAAGGACTTTAAGGGACCAATGGAGTACAAGTTAATATTGTACGGAGTAATAACAAGACTAAATATGACTAAAGTAATATAAAAAAATATATCAAAATAGAAGTTTTTTAGTCCTAAAATAAGAATTAAAATGCATATATAATACTCTGTACCAATTATGTCAATATATAATAACAAAAAGTATTGTGAAGTGTATATATACAGTGTCACATTATAACCGTGCAAACTTCTATTTTGGAAGAAAAACGCGGAGTTCTTTTTTTGGTACTTTCTATATATTTTACTCGATGATTTCTTAATAACAATGCTAGAAAAACGGATTATTTGCAAAATTTTATATGGCTTATTTATCTCGTAGTTTTATCAGTCATTTCTTTATTTCTTTGAACACTAATAACTCTATTACAAGATAGTATCCGTTCATTTTAAGTAGTCACTTTTTTATTAATTTCAACTATATACCTTTAATTTTTATTAGTCCCTTTGTCTATTAATTTTTTTTCACTTTCTTTCTAGAACCGTCCACAAATTTTTTTAACATTTCCTATTTTGGCAAAAATTAAAATTTTCACGTTTCCTCAGTGGAGGCAGAGACGTTGACTCTTTGTGCATCATTAGATTGAAAAAAATATGAATAAGTAATATATTACTTCGTAAAAACTCGATCTTTCATGTATAAGTTTGAACATATGATCAAATTATTTTTATATTATTTTTTAAGTATTTTTTTGATTTTGCACAAATGAAAATAAAACTTTCTTTCTAGAGATGGAAAAAGTACGGAGGAATAGTTTAGTGTAGTGTTGATGAGGCCCGCTACTCCGTAGTGTTTAGGGTGTTTCTGTCATTTAGCTCAAAAGACACATTAATGATTATTGATTACTACCTCCATCCCGGAAAACATGGGAGTTTTGGTTTTGGAGAGGGATTTAAGGGGAGTGTATTTTGGTATTGAATATCCAAAAATGTCCTTTGATGTGATGGATAAAAGTATGATTTGATGGATAGATTATTAGTAAAAAGGTATGATGTGATAGGTAGGGTATGAAAAAATAAGGGGTAAAAGTGACTTTTTAATAGAAATGAGAAGTGTTTTTTGGGACGGATGAAAAAAGAAAGGAGAAAAATTTTCTGGGACGAAGGGAGTATTATTTTTGCTTACAAATCAAAGTGATTAAAGAATGGGAAGTTGTTTTCACATATATTGAATAAAACTAAAGAAAAAGACATTATTGTTTCACATTTCTTCGCCACCATTCTTTTTTTCCAGAAGCACTCAAATAAAGTTGTTTTTGGCTGCAATATTTTTCAAATGAATTTTGAAAATTGACATCCCAAACACTACAAAAGTGTTTTTACCGAGTCAATTTTGAAAAAAGCATAAAACATAAATGTTTTTTTAACTTCGGTTGGATCTTAGCTTATTTACTCTACATGTTAGTGGCATAATTGAATTATTGAAGCTAGCTAATTACGGAGTATATTAGTAGCTAGATGTAGGGGTGTTCAATCGGATCGATCCGATCCGAAAATTTCGGATCATGCAAAACTCATTCCATATCCGATCCGAAAATATTCGGATATCCGAAATTCGGATATCCGATTTTTCGGATCGGATCACTGGATTATCCGAAAAGTTTAGTTTTTAGCCAAAATTTACAAAAAAAAAAGGTAAAATAGCAAAATCAACCCAAAATATCAAATTCAATATAGATTTACTAAAAGAAAAATTCCACCACTTGGTAATGGCCTAATAAAAAAATGATACCAAATTTAATTTGGGAGTAACTTTTGTAATTTTGCCTAAACAAGCAAAAAAACACTATTAAAACAAAAAATTCTAAAATGCTAATGCAAAAAGTCCAAAATAGGTGATTTCCAAAATCAATATAAAATTACATTTAAACATATAGTCATAATATATATCCATAAAATTCCAAAAACATATAGCAAAAAAAAATCGGATATCCAACTATCCGGAAAAATCCAAAAATTTAATCCATATCCGATCCGATTTTTTTCGGGTATCTGATCCGAAATATCCGCAAGCTAAAATATCGGATCGGATATCCATTTTTCGGATCGGATCGGCCCGGATCGTGGACGGATATTTCGGATCGGATATTTTTGAACACCCCTAGCTAGATGCGTGTGTGTGTCTATATATATATATATATATATATATATATATATATATATATATATATATATATATATATATATATATATATATATATATATATATATATATATATATAATAAGAACAAAAACAATAATAATAATAATAATAATTAATTAAAAAATTAATTAATTAATGGTATATATGCAGGAAAAAATGCGAGACACAAGTTAGAGATTCCCAAACTTTGGTAGATGATGGATATGCATGGAGAAAATATGGGCAAAAAACCATCCTCAATTCCGTGTATCCAAGGTTTGCTACTTTATTTTACACATATGTATGAAGAAATAAAAAGAAAGTAGAGTTAATTTGAGTGCGTGAATGCTAATTAAGAGTTCAATTCATTCTTAGGAGTCGATTATGTACTATATAACTTTTCTAAAAAAAATTGGCAGGCATTATTACAGATGCACACACAAGTTCGAGCAGAATTGCCAAGCGACCAAACAGGTGCAAAGAATTCAAGAAAACCCTCCCCAGTATCGGACGACATACCTTGGAAACCATACATGCACCGATTTCATAAAACACCCCGTATTCCTCCCCACACCGGCCGGCTGCGAGGGGGGCGGACCAGCATTTCCTGCCCTAGTGACCGAACAAGATCTTGCCAGCTTCCGGCCGGAGTTATACCATCTTGAATCGCCCTTTGGAGTGCCATTGTCTTGCCCCATGGGGCCTGCAATGTCATCGTCGGGGTCAGAATATGGGGATGTGGTTTCTTCCTCTGGGTGCACTTGCGGCGATTTGATTGATGCCTTACAGTTTTGATGGCTTAACGTACGATGAGTCAGTCGTTCAAGGGGTACGTTGTGCTAGCCTGAGTGCGTTCGAATTTATTATAATATGTTCATTCTTCGCTTTCTGCCAAAACCTATTGGAAGCGCTCAAGGTCTTGCGAAGCGGTCTGGCACTCTAACGCACACGAACCGCACATGATATGAATTACTTTTCCACTTTTTCATGGCTTTAACCTATATCAACAGCTCATAGTTAGTTAATTATATTATTACTTTAATGTTACTTTAAATTTTCACATGCTTAATTACATATGCACCCAACAAGTTTGAGCAGAATTTCCAAGTGACCAAACAGGTCCAAAGAATTAAAGAAAACAAGAAAACCCTCCCTCGTATCGGACCACATACCATATATGGAAACCATGCACTGGCCGGTTTCCTAAAACAATCCCGTCCCGTTATCCTCCCCATACGTGAGTACAAGGTCAATAATTGCTCGACCCAAATTTGTTGGGGCAAAAGGTGTTGGGACTGCGCGTACCCTCACCCCAACCGTGCATTAGTATGATATTGTCCGCTCTGGGCCAAGCCCTCACGGATTTGTTTTTGGGCACTTCCCAAAAGGCCTCATACTAATAGAGTTGGGTGAACCTATATATTTTGGTTCATTTACTCCTACTCATGCGGTGTGGGACTTGGAGGAATCCCAACAAAAGGGTCAGGGTTACAATGGTGGATCAACATTTTCCACCCTAGTTATCGAACACGAACTTGCAGCTTGCAAGATTTATACCATGGATATGATCATCGCCATTTAGAATTGCCTTTCAGAGTGCCATTGTTTTGCCCTATAGGGCCTGCAATGTCATCATCAGGGCCGGGATATGGGGATGTAGTTTCTTCTTCTGGCTGCACTTACCCTTTGACGCCGCCACCACCTATTAGGGCGGCCACTTATAATTTTGATGAATTCGCACGTACACGAGTCCTTGAAAGAGTTGTGCTAGCAATCTAGTATCATTGATGAATTCACAATATGTTCCATATGTTCCAAAATAAGATCTTAGGTGTTTTCGGACATGTTTGTTAATAGAAATTGTTGAAATTTCATGGGGATGCAATGGAAATAACCAAATAAAAGTGATGTAAATAAGTTAAATAGATAAGCAGCTACAAAGGTTGTTGTAGCACTGTCACAATAACAGATGACAGACATTGTGTTATAACACCTTCTCCGTCACATGCACACACACAGAACATAAAGTAAAAGTAGTAAACCGTGCACAAGAATTATTTATGCAATTCGGACCAACTCTCCCACTTTGCGAGGTCCACGTTCGTGTAACAGCCATTCCACAAAATCATCATAACTATCTGTAATCACAGTAGACTCGATCTATGTATTGACTTAATCCACTTGTGAATGAATTAGCTGGTTACGCTAATGTATTCACAAAAACCTCCTATTTGCGTCAAACTCTTTAGCTGGTTACGCCTTCAAATCTTCTTATTAATAGGGACATGTTAGCAACCCAAACTCCAAAACATAAAAACTCCCTGAGTAACTTCAGTTCATATGTTCTCACAATAGCTCTAAGTTTTGTGACAGATCAAATCGAGCTTTAACAAAAACCTCACGCAAGATATTATGAGGATGGCCCAATCTCCATGTCTTCTAGGAACTCTATGGAAAACAACCTCTTGGATCTCTCATGTATAATAGGCTCTCTTGTAATTTCTCGCCAATCCTAAATACTACCTCCGTTTCACAAAAGTGTTCCTCTTTTGACTTTGGGGGAAAATAAGAAAGTGTTAAATTGTAGTTGACTTTCCAATTTTGCCCTTGATGTGATGGGTAAAAGTAAGATGTGATAGTTTAGTTGTTAGTGAAAAAGTATGATGTGATAGGTAGGGTATGAAAAGGTAGGCGTAAAAGTGGTTTTTAATAGAAAGGGGAAGTGTTTTAAGAAAAACAAAAAAATGAAAGATGAAGGGTTTTAAGAAACGGAGGGAGTATATATTTAGGATATTGCAAACCCTACAAGAGTACAACTACGAATTATTATAAAGGATTATTTTGATAATTTACTTTATAATTAATGAAATAAATATCTAATTGATTGTGTGTGAAATTGTCATTGACAAAGATGTGCTCACATGAAACTGATTTACGCTACTAATTTAGACCACCAATAATGTCCTATTTGTTTTAACTAAGAAAAATGTTGAGGAAATACTTAATTTTTACTTACTAAGTTTTTAAAATATTTTAATAAAAAAAATTTGGTAAAATTTTTTATTCGTGCATCGCATAGGTACGAATCTAGTCATATTAACACTAAAAAGAATGAAATTTACCCCAAAGTTTTCATTTCACTCTTTCTAAATTCATTTTTCCTCTTCTAAATTTCATTCTCCTTTTTCCAAATTTCTTCTCTGTTTTATCACCTCTTAAAATCTTCAATTTCCCTCTCTTCCTTTTTCCCAAATATATATATAGCTTGCACATGAGACTTGAAAAAACTCTATGCTTAGTATAGTTGTCTCGCAACACAGTTGCCAAAAATCGAACTCAAGTTTACCCCTTTGGCACTATTTGTTCAACCAGTAAAACTACACCCACCAACATGTCAATATAGTTTAAATATGCCAAGGCATGTTGCTGTATAATAAAAAGCTCAGTTTCGCTATTGGGAAAGAAGTATTGTAACACATTTTACATGGGGCATAAGTGAGAATGTTCACATTAGAACGATCTTTATATACACGGCCGTTCATCACGTACGCTAAATGTAAATAGTGTGTGTGTGAATCAATGGATCAATCAATGGGGTGTTTGTCAGCATGGCGTGATGTGTAATGTGCCGAAAGCAAAAGCAGAGAAAGGAAAGCGCTGGCTACGAAGATGGCATCAAACCATCTGTGGTAGAAGTCGAACTGAATGTCCCCTCCCAAGACATCTGTTATGATCAACCTGTGGTGACACCAATACAAACACAATGCACAGCCAAAGAGACCACCTCATCAATCAATCTATCAATGCCCACTTTTTAGCTATTTTTTTGTTCTTGGAAAAAAAACAAGAAAACATTACCGATATTCAGTTGCGAGGCTCTTTCTAATCAATAGAATGGATGACACGAAGTACATCCCCATTATTTCAGACAGGAAAAGCACCACATTGCTAGATGACCCGCTCCCAACTCTCGACACTGCAAAGAAGAACTGTACAGAACTATACCATTAATGGATGAAAATTTACTGTTTTTGGCCTCACGACTAATAGGTTCATTCCTACTTGTAGTCTCAGGCTTACATTTTCCACTTTTCATGCACGAATGCAGATTATGTGCCAAATTCTGGAAATTGGCAAGTGTCTAAGTGAGAAAAGATGGCAAGAGATCCATTCTTATGCACCAAAAGTGGTTCTTAACAGAAAGTGTGTTTTGAGAGATCTTAAATGAGAGATGTGGATGTTTCTCCAAGTGTGTTTATGTAAGTGGGAACCCGGTTTAACACAGCCTAATTAATCAATTAACCCAACCATTAAGAGATAAATTTTCCATCTATGAACCAAACAACACCTAATTGATCATTCAGAACTTACCTTCATCAAATTGGTTAAGAACCCCCTTACAGATATGACGACCAGCATCCCAATAAATAAGAGGGATATATACTGCACACGAAGAGAAAGAAAGGTAAATGTTTGATGCTCGGTCTTCGTTGGTAAATTTTCTCCACCCGCTCAATTTCCAACTTCTTTCTTAAAAAGAACCCAAATATTTTAGTAGCATTAATTTGCACCAAAAAAGTAAAACAGAAATGGACATAGAGAAATAATTAAGAACCTGTGACAGCAATGTTGCATTTATTCCTATATCAAAATATTGCAAAAATATACTGATTGTCCGTGTCACGGGATCAATAGAACCATCCTGTCAAGGAAAAGCATGTGTTATCCACAAATGATGTGAAGATTCAATTACAAGGGCAAGACTCTATAATTCCAAAAGAATCTTAGCCCCTAGATTGATGACATTTTGAAGATATCTACCTCCTTGAAGACAACACTCTGCAAAGACTGCAAAAAAAAATAATTGAGTAATCAATGACCTGGCCTTAGAGTTTAAGATGTTAAAAACAATGTATGAGGATCAAGAATCTATCTTCAACACTAATCTCATACTCTATTTATGTGGTAGTGACATTAGATACATATTATAGACCAAGTGAAAGCGAGAGAGAGAGAGAGAGAGAAGAGAAATGAAATCCAATAAACTAAAATAAAAACAATGCAACACTGGTCTACGAGAATGGCGTACAGATTCAACTATAATATACAGCACAGAGCCTCACGCGCAGTTTTCAAGAAGTTCTATAAGTTGTTACAAGCACCATGACATTGAAGTTGCGTCATCCGCCAAAGTAGGTTTGTCAATACTCAATATATTAACGAGAGTGATAATATTTGTTGAGAATGTTAATTTGCGAATTGCAAGTCATTTCTAACACATACAGTAGTATTTTTGTACCTTAATCATTTTATACACACAATAGACAGAACAAGCATAGCCCAAAAGATTCTGCATGTGACCTTTCCATGTACGGGAATAAGCAGCAGCTTCCTGAAATAAACCTATAACTTGGTGAGTTAAATGATGAACTCCCTCCGTCCCAACATGAAGTTTACACTTCACCTTCACAGAGTATAGGAAATGTACGGAGTAGTGAAAAGTGTGGTTAAAATTTGTTTAGAAGAAAGATAAATATTATGAGCCACATATTCCTTTTCTAAAAAGGACACGGGAATAGTGCAAGGTTCAATTTGGGTGGACATAGAAGTGAAGCGTAAACTTTGTAGTGGGGGAGGGAGTACTAGTTTTAGAGCATGTTCTATTGTTGATTTTGATTCAAAAAATGAACCCTAATAAAAGTACATCCATGTTCACAGATTATTAGGGGACGGTCGAAAATCAGAAAATTACTCACGGGTGACGCAAGTTTTGTCGAAATAACTCTCAGGTCCCCATATTTTTAATAAGGCAACAGAGGCCCTTACATTTTGTTGTAATGACTAGGAGGGGACATTCCGTCCAATACTTCATCCATAGGCGTTAATAAATGCGTTTATTCCTACCTTACTCTTAATGTTTTATGGTAATAACTCTTAGCCCTCTCACTTTTTGGTTTCTTTGTTACTCTTTTCTTGAAACGTTTTTAAACATTTCTTCTAGAAAACTGTATGAAAAATTTAAAATTGTTTGTACGATATAAAAATAAATGAAATAATGAAGTTTCCTAAAAAAGAAAAGACCGAGTAAAATTTAAAAAAAAATTGAGAAATAAAGCAAAAATTTTTCCCTAGAAAGTCCATGAGATTCCTTTTTTAATACTTCGTACGTAGTATTAAAAATAAAAAAGAGATCTAATTTTCTTTTTTGATAAGGTCCTTATTTCATTTATTTTTTATATCATACAAAAAATTGAATTTTTGAAACAATTTCTGGAAGAAACTTTAAAAAGACAACAACAACAACAACCCAGTTAAATCCCACAAGAGTAGGGTCTGGGGAGGGTGTGTATACGCAGACCTTGCCCCTACTCGAAAGTAGAGAGGCTGTTTCCAAAGAGACCCCCGGCTCAACATCGAAAGTTGCATTGCTTGACTAACTGCTACTTCATTATTTAAAGAAGCACAGACAGTTTAGAGATCCATTTTGATTTATTCCATCACACCCCAAAGCCAAAAAATGGTGAAATTTTGGCTCCATCGGAGATGATGGAAATAAACTTTAAAAAGACCTTTATGAAAAAAGAAACAAAGTGAAAAAAGAGAAACAAAAAAAGGAAACAAAGAAACTAAAAAGTGAGGGGCCTAAAAGTTATTACCATTAAACATTAAGGGCAAAATAAGAAAAACAGGTTTATCGACGCCAATGGATGAAGTATTAGATGGAATATCCCCTCCTAGTCATTACAACAAAATTTAAGGACCTCTCTTGCCTTTTTGAAAATATAGGGTCCTGAAAGTTTTTTCGAAAACACATGTGTCACCAGGGAGTAGTTTTTGAAAATCAATCCATGAAGATTTACGAAAGGTCTGCATGTGAGTGAGAAAGAGAAAGTAGTAAACAGGTCATGTAATGCAAGACCAAACAACCCTTCAAGTATATTTTGGTACCAATCTTCTGAAGGCTAGAGTTTATGACTGAGGCCTTGTTTGGTTTGGTTGAATCAATTGCCTTAGTCTGCTTATCAGGAGAACAATTAGAATAATCCTAGCCTTTGAGTTACTTATTCAACTTTAATCAATTTTTCCAAACATTTTTCCTTCCAAAGAGTTTGGAAAATTCAGCCATTTCAACCAAGCAACCCTTACTAACTAGTAAAAAAAGATGTTGAAAAATTAAAAATGCTAATTTCTTAAAAGACTAAAGACAACACATTCAGCCATTTCAACCAAGCAACCCTTACTAACAACTTAACATGTAGTAAAAAAAGATTTGGAAAAATTAAAATGCTTATTTCTTAAAAGAGTAAAGACAACACATCAATATAAACCTTAGCTTGGCGAAGCTCATAAATTTCCAGAAAAAGCTGCTTTGAGAGTTCTTCCAAAGCTTGTACCTCGGCGTCCAAAAGTTTTATATCTTCATCATAAGAGCATGCATAATTATGGAGTCAAATAATGAATACTCAGTATATCTCTATGAGCTCACCATGAATTCATTGAGAAAAGAACCCATGATCAAACTGTTTAAGTTCAACATGAATCAATGACCAAACATGTTATGTTGATAACAAAAAATATAATTATTTATAGCTAGTCAGACACTGACCCTGCTCCTTTTGGTCATCTTGAACAGATCGCACAACTGTTCCTACAATTCGTTTTAGAAAGGAACTAGCATTTGTTTTCTGCAACACCAGTAAGAAGTTCAAAATCATCGTCAGAGAGTCACACAAAAAATAACCCCACAGCTCTCCTTGTCAGCCCACCTGTCCCCATTTTAAGCATCACCACAGCAAAAAAAACATCACTTTTGTTGTCTTTTCACTTTGGAGGTCAGAAGAACTAAGTAATTGCTAGTAGCTTCAACTTTTGATTTTACTCTCAACCATACCAATTTTTCATTGTACAAATTTTTGGAAGTGAATAACAAAAAAATGATGAATTCAAATGCATAAACCTCTTCAGCTCCTTGAATTCGCTGGATTTCCCTTTGGCAGAGAATGATTTTCTTTTTCTTGGCAATGCTGGTCTCAAGAGACTGAATTAGCTGTCTTTCCACTGCCTTGATCTCTGATTCCTCAATTTCTCTGCCATGTAAGAGCATTAATTGTCACTATCGTAACCAAAAAAATATATAACCAACAAGAAAGAGTATTGAACACTTGTCTACAAACCAAACATAGTATGTACTATGAAGTACCAAACTACATTTGTAGAAAATCTTGTTTCCATATATTTGTCACTTTTCATTTTCAAAAGGATTTAATTTTCTTCCAACTTCCCCCATTCGCTTACATTTGTATAAAACTCTTATTTTTTTTCGAAGGGTAATGCAGTTATATTATGCGCATAAATACATATGTACCCATTAGATGAGGTTTTTTTGTCTCATACTTACACAGGAGGACTAGCAACCCCTCCCCCCCATCTCCTTAGCTATGCTTCCCTTGCATCAATTAATAAAGTTATAAATCTGTTCCCTATCCTATGGTCTCCACCATCCACCCCCTTACCTAATGAATAAAGACAGATAACTGTATGGCAAATTTACTGCCCCAAAGCCTGAAAGTATAGCCATGAGAGTGACTCCGAAAACGCCAATTCTACTCACAAGCTGAGGTGTGGTGAAAAATCCTGGAAGACAAACCAAGAAGTACCAGATTATAACTTTTTCATAAACGTCATCAGATGGTAATTGAAGTATGAAGACACGTAGAGCTCAAGGGAGTTGCACAGTTCAAAAACAGAGCTAGACCAACACAACCATAAGTTGTTCAGAATTGGGACAATAATCATTCAGTTGAGCTCAATGCCTCAAACAACAACGACAATGACACCACAAACAAACCACAACACAGGTTACTAAGCAAGCACAATTTTGAAATATCTTCCCAACACAGCTGAGTTACTTAGTAGATTAGTACTCCATACGTAATTACGTATAGATGCAAGCATAAACAAGCTCAACTTGATTTTCAAATTACTTGATATCATTATAAATTGTCAAATAGATTTTGAATAACTCATAAAAAGTAAAAGCAGAACGAGAAAAAACAGTATATTAGTCATTTAAGCGGATAATAAAATGCAGCCATACCTTTATCAGGTGAAGGCATTGGGAAATGAATGCCCATGCGCCAAAACACATATAGGAATGCCATCAAGAACAAGGTAGCAACAACTGCAGCTCGCTGCTTTCTCACACCTGATTTGTGAAATCTACTTTCAGGAAAATTTCAATTACTTTGGGATGAGGAAGGAGAAGAATGTACTTGCCACCTAAATGTCTAGTAAAGAACTTCAGCTCTTCCAGTAGGGTTTACAGCGAGTGTAAGCAGTCTAAGGGTAAAAGGTTGGGTTGGGGATGGGTAATGAACTGTTAAACTCACCATTGTTGCAAAGCATCAAGTAGCAATGATAATAAGGCAACAAGAAGACTAGTAACATTATCAAACAAAACAAGTCCACCTTCCAATTTATCCATCTTGCCCTACGATCAACAAGAAATTAAACATAATCAAATGGTTGTGCTTGAAAACTAACAATTAAAAATATTGATCAAACGCTAAGAACTTGTCCATAGAGAAGGCAACACCACTTCATCTAAAAAGAGGTTAATAATCACGTAAGGTGTGCCTATGCCCTATGTATTCCATACATATTAGTTCTTAATAACCATTTTTAAGACAATTATTTATATTACTCGTAGTTGACTAGTTGTTGTGAAAAACTTGTTCTTTTAGTTGTTAAACAGAGATGATTGCTCATGGGGAGCAGTTGTTAGCTGTTTGAATGTAACAATGTAAGCCCAAAAAAGGACTTCTCTAAATGATCTTCTCAAAAAATTTCTCATGGAGGCTTTTTGGAAATGAGTTTTTCATTTTATTTTATCTAATTTTACAGGTTCATTACCAAATACTAGGATTAGCTATTTGACATGAAGGGCTAATTCGCATTGGAAAAGCTATAACTTTTATTAGATATTTGTTCCGGAGCATGAGAGGCATAATCTCATTAGATAAGGGTTAGCCTAGGAGTTTACACAATGTTCCTCTGGAGCAATGTATACATATTTTATAACTTTTCTTCTACTCCCTAATACTTGCATCCAGATCTTAGTTCTTAAATTTATATTATCCATATCAATTTACAACATCCGGAAAGAAATTTTTTTCACCACATCCACTGCAAAGCGCAATCAATCCACAGCCAATCACGCCGCATTATCATAGTATACACATATCCCACAACTGATGACAAGCGTACCATCCAAATCCAGCACAATTATCTCTACGAAATCAGGGAAAAAAAGCAGGAATTCGGGAAATGTACCAACTAGTGCAACATTTGAGTTAGTTCAAATCGAAGAACATTGAAAGAAAAAAGGATGGGGAAAGTACTCTTTAGAGAGGAGAGGGATGATCTCGAAGAGGACGAGCTGGAATAGATTGCAGGAGAGCGCGAAGACGGCGCTGAAGATGATCTGCACAAGCACCCTCTTCTCCTCGTACTCCTTGTAGAGCCTCCGGTTCAGAAACCATAGCCCGGCCCAGCCTAGCAGCAATAGAGAACCCACTGCTATTACGCCTTCGAACAACCACCGTCCCCATCCCATCTTCTCCCTCCCACAGCGATTCTCTGATTCTTATTGTTCTCGGGCTTCTGGTTTTCGTTTTTTTCTCTGTTCTTCTCACCGGTGGAGCGATTTGGCCAACTTGTTTTACTCAGTCGGTGCATAATCAGAGCACACCATGTTCTAATTAGGGAAGGCAATGGGTTGGGTTCGGGTCGGATACTACTATACCCGAACCCGATCCGACTTTTAAAACCAAAACTTGAACCTGACCCGAAACCCGATTTTTTAAGCCAAAAACTCAACATGACCCGAATCTGACATGTAACTCGAAATCCGAACCCAAATTCGTAATTTAACGAATAATCAATTCGATGTACCCCAATAATTTTAAAAAGATTAAATCTATTTTGTGTGTTTCATTTTTTATTATGAAATTTTAAAAATATTTATCTTTATATATAAAATTTGAGGATTAAACTCATAGAATTGTGACATGTCGCAAGTTTACATGGCAACACATTAATAAATCATATGCCACCTATTAATGATTTGAATGATATGGCAATTTTGATCAAAATATGAGTAGATCCAATTTAAGTTGTATACGAAGTATACGGCTTATATACAGAGTGCCACAATTATTGTTTGAAAAATATTATCAAAAAGGGAGTAAAACATACAAAAAAAATATTATCAGAATAGGAGTTTCATATTTTTTCCTCCAACACTGGAGCTACCAAAATGAAGAGATTTCTTAGCTTGCACTTGATATAGTTTTTATTTTTAAAAAGAAAAAACAAATAAAGTTGCAAGGGTTTTTACAAAGAAAATTTCCAAAAAAACAAAAGTAAGCATAGGTATTTCACTCTTAACTTCATTGAAATTACAACTACTTTTTTAAAAAACACAAAAAAATTGCATGGGATATATATAACAAAACAATATTTAAAAAAAGAGAGTCACATATTTTTCATACATGAATTTTATTGAAATTTTACATAGGCATGAAGTGAGAGATGAGAGCCAAGATCATCATCATTTGAAATTCACTTGCGTAAACCTAAGAGGGTAAAAGAGAGGCACAAAACATTGAGATGCCTCTAAATGTACAATTGGGATATAATTATAATAATAATAATAATCACAGAGACCTAAGTTTGAAGAAAGTTAATCAGAGAGGGTCAATTTGAAAAATTAGTTTACGTTTGGATGTTGAAAAATACCAAAATATCCTTCACTGAATCTCTATTTTACAGACATTTTATGCAGAGGATATTTAGTGAATAAATCTCAATTATAAATTACTACATATGTAATGAATGCTTAATAAGACTGATTTAGGAATATACCTTATTAGAAAACACTATGTTGAGATTACTCAATGAAATTTATAATTGATAATTGGATGTCTAAAGTATTTAAGACTATATTTTCTAAGAGAATGATATCTGTAATAATTATGTACCTCACTTTTAAACAAATGGGATAATATGTATACTATGAAGTTGACTCAATCCATATCTTAAATTATATTACCTAGAACTTTTGTTTTTGGTAAGGCGACTAATTATGATATGAAATAAAAGTATTTTTATATTTTTTGACAGAAAAAAAGTATTTCTATATGATTTGACTATTTTTAAATGATTGAATATTTAAAATAAATAAATTAGAAAAAAGATTTAATATGACTTGTGTACTTTGTCTTGGTAACTTGAGTTACTATTTTAATTAAAATAATTTTGTACTCTAACTTACGATTTAGTCAGTATATACTTATATTGTGTTATAAATCTCTATATTTGTGCATAAAAATAAGAAAAGTAGAATGAGAGAGGACTTCATACGTTTATTTATGCAATTGTACATAGAAAATTCATATGATGATATTCTAAGAGATGACACAGATTTATGCAGAGAAGATTGCGAGAAAAAAGATCAAGGTGTGAAGAGCAGCATGAGAAGATCTCTGACAATGAAGATTTGGGCACAGGGATAATCAATAAAGAAAGAAAAGGTGCGCAGAAAATCCAAGGTGCAATAGCTAATAAGATCGAGACTAAGTTACAAGTTACAACCACGTAAAAGAGAAATAAAATTTCAAATTTGTAACTATTTATATTTTGATAAAACATTTTGTATATTGACTAGAATACTATCACAAGCACAGGGATAATCAATAAAGCAAGAAAAAGTGCACAGAAAATTCAAGGTGCACTAGCTAATAAAATCGAGACCAAGTTACATGCTACAACGACGTAAAGGATAAATACAATTTTCAATTTGTACCTATTTGTATTTTGATAAGACATTTTGTATATTGACCAGAATACTATAACAAGCTTAAATGATTTTACATTTAAAAAAATTACCAATTTTTTAAAACTTTCCCTTTAAAGAAATCAACCAATATAGGAACAAAATATTATCTTTATTGCCATATTAGAAGTGGCTTATTTTATCCCAAAATTGTATTATCGCATTGTGACAGTGTGACACTATATATAGAAATTTCATTGTAATTTTGGTATTATATGTTGGTATTATTGACATTCTTTTTTTGGAGATAAAAACATGAATGTTTTATCTTGGTTATTTTCTTATATTTTACTCATATACTCCTTATTAATATTTCTCACTTTCCTATCAGAATCATTAGGGCACTAGTATTTCTTTTTGTATTAATGTTTTTTTTAAAATCAATGTGGGGAGAAAATAATTAAGTTTTAAATTTTTAAGATTAAAAATTTTAATAATAGAGATTTAGGGTCACTAAATTAAGATTTTGTTTTTGAATAATGCGGGAGACAAAAATAAATTTATATAATCATTGAAAAGGGGTAGTTGGAATTATTTTTTTCCATTAATCTTAATTAATATAGAGGAGAAAAATCATATTTTTTAATCATAGATTTCTAAGATCAGTAATTTCATTTTGTTTTTAAATTAATGCGAGGAAAAAGAATCATTAGATCACTAATACTTTTTGTATCAGTATATTGAAGTCAATGAATGTGGACTAGTCTCCGAATATTCTGAGTAGAAATGACTATGTATAACTTGTAATCTCATTTTACAATAAGATATCATCAAATAAAGAAATCATCCCAAATAGGAGCACAACATAGTCCTTATTCCCAAAATATCCCAGAGTGACATGTTTTAATCTCAAAATTAAATTATTGCAATGTGACAATGTAAAACTGTACAACTGTATATTGGCATTTTTTAGTGTTTGTTGGTATTATATGTTTGGCATTATATGTCATATTTTGGGACAAAAGCATGAAGATCTTATTTTGGTTATTTTCCTTATATATGTTTTCCTCACATTTTGATCTTTCTACTGATCAAATATAACTATACAATTTTAAGATTAGGGTTACAAATGGAGTACCTACTCCGAACGTTTTAGTGAATTAATCCCAATGATTCTGTTTACATAAATCCGAATAAGGTCTTTATTTCAAAAGTATTTGATCACAGTTGATATTTGGATGGTCCTTAATACCATCTTTGTGACCTCTTCTGCCCGTCGAGTCGCAGTGAACCGGGTTCACGAGTCGGAGTGTGTTACATAAAATATAAATCAAACTATTTGTTATTAAGTATTATGATGATTTTGTTGAATATTGATGATGAAGATTAAATAAATAAATATCCTAACTAAATGATGATTATGAATATTAAGGCAATCTAGAAGAACTCTAAGATAGATCTCATGTGACATAAATAGTTTGGGTCTTGCGGGTATGATGTCTGGTGGCCTCGGTAAAAACGTACATATGAGATCCATAAATCAAACTAGAGTATAACTCGTTTGGGGATACCACCCACCCGGTAGTGAGTTGTCCACTGTTCGATTTGAGCGTGGCCTATAAAACTTGCATGATAGGTCATCGATTCTTGTGTTTCAGAGCACTATTGGCATTGAATGTTGACTATTTGAACTGAATATTATGTGCATGATATCAAATCATTTGATTATGAATTGAGATTCAACTTATGTGGATGTTTGATGCATTAAATATCCTTACTCATCTTCACAGTTGAGCGTGTAGTATGTTTTATTTGCTACACGCAGGTAAACAAAAGAATGACGTGATGTGATCCTGGCGGCAAACGAGGACAAGATTGTCGGAATGGATTGTGATGGTTCTGAACTGTTCAATAAATATTTTAAACATGAATTATTTTGTGATTGTGATGTGAAACTGTTTATTAAGCTCCAGCGAATTTGATATTCCGCTGTTGTTACTGTTATAATTATTTTTATGATGAAATAAAATGTTTAAGATATTTTAAATTTTACGATGACCAAGTTAATACTTTCGTCCAAAAGGGATTGTGGACTCGGACGGATTAGGGTGTTGCAAAATTTGATAAAAAATAAGTCGTATTGCATTTTCTTTTAAAAACTGGAAGTAGGCCGGCCAGCGGATGGTCACTTGGTCAACCGTCAATCCGTCATCTTCTTCAGATTTTGACTTGGCAAGGCACCTTCATCGCCTGATAACTCAAACTGCCGGTAACCACTACTTTGCCAGAATCTCGCCAAGGGGGCACTTGCCCAGTCAGCCCCCCTTCCTCTGCCCCTGTGGATGGTTGGCGGTGATAGCCAGCCACAAAGATGGTTGATGTTTGAAGAATATATCGAACCTTCATTTTGATATATATCAAATTCGTAAGATATCAACATTTTTATATAGAAGATTTGTGATATTAGGAGATATCAAATCTAATTTTTTTTTATGTATGATTTACCGATTTTGATGCCCATCAAAATAATCATATTTTCTACACTCACCAAGGGGCCATTCGAGTCTAAAAATGATGTGGCCTGTGGTTAAAAGAAAGTGTGGGATCACATTGGGACAACATTGAAGGAGAAGCAAATATTGGGACAACATTTGTTCGTGACTTCGACTAAAAACATGTCATTGAACCATAGTAATATATTTGACACATTTTCCGTGTCACCAAAGCGATTCATTTTTTAAACACACCAAAGCGATTCTAAACGTTGGACTTCTACGCTTGCATATATCACCGAAGCGATCCATTCCTATGAGTCAGTCGCTCACGCCAACCACTCGACGACGGCCGCCGCCAGGCAAAATTCGTGGAAGATTTTAAACACTCCGCTCCTCCACGCCGGCGGAGCTCCATTGCCGAATCCTCCCGATCCCCGGACGCTATTATCCCCCTCCCGTCGAAATCCCAATCTCGTACTATGAGCGCTATGGCTGCAGTCGAGCTTTTTGCGGCAGGGAAGTCTAGCCCTAGATTGACTCCGCGTTCGAAGACGAATCCCCGCTTCGGTTTCTCCCTCGCAGTCGGGCCTCCACGCGGTTGCAGAGCCATGGCTTTGACTCGCCCCATTTGCCCTAAAAGCCTCCATCTTGGGCTCCGAACCGGTCGGATTTGCCCGCCGAGTCTCGGGAGGAGGTCCATTTTCTCATGTGCTGCTTCAACAGAGGAACCGGTGAGCAATGCGCATCTTTTAATTGTGATTTGTTTTTGGGGGAAAGTTAGAAATTAATAATAAATGCAATGTGCCATTATACCATTTTTGAAGTTCTTACATGCCCTGCAGCTGCTTATCTTTGTCCAGTTGTTATGTACTTATATTTTCAAGCTATGAAAGTGTACGTAAAATAGTGCCTAACCTACAAAATTCAGAATATGTTTATTTAAATTTCCAGTTTATTTTCACTGTTCCCAGCATTAACAATGTTGTCTCGTCCCGAATGAGATTCAAAGATTTTCTTTGAAAAAAAGGGAGTGACAGAGTTGGAGAGGTTGTAATTTGGAAAACATTTAAAAGGGGACATTCCAAATGGGTTATCCATTAGAACCATATCAAAAAGATTGTGTTTTATGTGTTTTCTTGTTTGTTTTTCTCAGGAGCATTTAGATATCAATGTTGAGGAGGAGAAGAGCAATGCTAAAATGGATGCAGAAGAAGCACAAGTTGCCTGGGAAAGGACCCTTGATTATATAAGAGAACAAGCCAAAAAGATGCAGAATCTGTCACAAGAAGCGTACGACGTGTATTCCAAGAAAGCTATCATTATTTTGAAAGAAACTTCTGAGAAAATTGAGATTCAGTCCAAGAAAGCAAGAAGCGATTTGAGTGTGGTTGCAAAGGAAGTCGGAAAGGGAAGTAAAGAGTATTTGACTATAGCTGCTGAGAAATCCCCTGAATCCCTTAAGGATGTTGTTGAAACATTTGCTTCCTCCACCGATGAATTGAATGATGTCTCTGAAATTCGTGACTTTCACCTTGGGATACCATATGGTATACATTCATAATTATATGTTAATTGTTTTCTTGCATACATGAATTGTTTTCCTCCACCCATGATAGGGGACTTTTTCATCCATAATAATCCTTTCCAGGTTCTCTTCTTTCCGTTGGTGGCTTTTTGTGCTTCATGCTTACTGGAAGTATCGCTGCTATAAGGTTTGGGGTTATTCTCGGTGGTACTCTGTTGGCCTTGAGTGTCTCAAGTCTAAGATGTTGGAGAAAAGGAGAAATAAATTCCCTCGCCTTAAGAGGACAAGCAGGTTTTTTTCCCTCGGTGTATTTCCATAGCAGTACTTGATTTCCTATTCTTCTTACATCCTCTTCCTCACCTCCACTGCTCTAATAGTTATTATGAGCAGAAGATCCCAATTACCCATTGCTGAAAATTAATTAATTATAGAATCCACCCCACTGTAACTTAATGTGTTCCTGAAAGCAATGATGGTTTATTTATGTTTTGCAGCAATTGCTACGATCTTATTTTTAAGAGAGCTCCGCCTGCTGTTTCAGGTAAAAACTCTACCCCCACCCCCTCCCCAATTGCTTTATTTTCTGGTTCTTCTGAGGTTTTTTAATTGGCTACATGTTCACCCGGTGACTATCTCTAACCTCGTATTGTTTTGTCCTGTGCAGAGAGCATTTATTGCGAACATTTTCACAACGTTAATCAGGTTATTAATTTTTTTCATTTCTGTGATTTATCATGTAACCTCATTGATGAAGTCCATCTAGTTGCAGTCAATACTTGTTTATGCCACCAAACTTATCGTCATCATCATCATCATAACCTAATGGATGAAAATATGTTTCGTGCAGTGGCGCGATGGCAGCATTCTTTTCATATAGGATGATGATAAGTGATGGCAAGCAGACAAAGGGTTCAGAAAATTGATATACCATCATCCTTCTCTCCCTTGGGAGGCCATCTTTTCTTTCATCAAATGTCATCACTCTTCTATTCTTTCTTTGTTTTTTTTTCTTTTATGTTGTAACAATAAATGAACTCAAGTGGTGTAATACAGTATGCGTTTCACTGCCATGGTTGGGAGGTATAACAATTATTAATTCATGTTTGTGTTGTGTTTGAGCAGTTCATGAATCATCTCCAATTGAGTCATTTTTGGCTTTGCATTTGGTGAATTAGAAATGGGATCCTGAGAAGATTATATTTGTTTGAATCATCCAAACCTTGGGTGGAGAGCCACACTTGAATGAACTGGGCAAAAAATTATTTTACACATTTTGATAAGCTTGTGATAAATTGTTCTCTTCAACTTATTCTTTTTACTTATTACTTATTTTTATTAGAATCAAATAAAAAACAACTTTAAATACAATTACAATCAAATCATATCAAGGTTTAATCGAATCAAATCATAACCAATGAGATTAGTTGAAGAGAACGAGCCCTAAGAGTGATAGCATTTGAGATTTAAGACTTGGTGCAGTTTAGAATCTGGAAACTTATAGTAGGCAAATAATAATGCTGTTAAGATTTACACTCCATAAGAGATCAACTTCCAACTAAGGAGATCGAAAATCTTTTTACAGATGAGTCGTGAGTGAGATATTGAGATTTTAGCCATCCAGTAACGTTGTGAGGTTTCACTAATCACTATACAAATCTTAACCACCTTTGTACATCCCACAGCATATATATAAAATTTCGTCCTACTTTACCCCTTGCGAGCAAGAAAAATGGCGCGGCATATGCCACAAGGGTGGGTGGAGGGATTGGGTGGTGCCGTGGTGGTGGTGAGGAGTGAAGTTGCTAACTATTCTCGCTTGTCCTCTTCTATGTCTTCTCGTTCGGTTGAAGTGGGCCCCTTCTTTTCCTTCCTTTCAAGCATTGTTCCTGAGTCACCGACTACTACCCTGACCGCACTTGTCAGTGAGATAGCCTCTTCATCTAAGTCATCTACGGTCTCCCCAGAGTATGCATATCTGTTGTTCACAGTTAAATGAATAAATTAGCTCTTAGATATTAGTGATAACGATACTACACTTTTCCTGTCCATTTGATTGTCTTGATGCAAGAGTTATGCACAAAAAACATAGACAAATCCAAAAGAGGCAGGAAATAACAGGGTATCAGGACAGGAAAAATGGGGAGCTTCAACCCCTCTCCTTCCTAATTTTTTAAAACAAAATGTCCTAATCCTCCAATAATCGCAAACCAAACATACTTTGAATGAGAGATGAGGGCATCAATCCAAAAAAGTACCTGGTCGGATTACGTGAGGGAGCCCAAAGAACACATATAACCACCAACAAAGAAAATGCTAGGAGCGTCCAAAAAGCAGGAATTATCCAAGCAAATCGCCATAACTCGCCTAATGGGTCACTTGCATTGAAGTATAGCTGATCCAATATGAAGTATCGAAGAACATCAGGATTGACATATGTAATATAAGTATGAAAAAGGTAGAATTAAGATGTACACAGGCCCCCATCTATGTAAACTGCATATGATTTATTCAACATGGCCATCTCCATAGCCTCAAAATAGAGGATTCTTCGTATTGTCTCGATCTAAAAACAACCCATTGATGACACAAAATTGTTGGTACATATAGCAATGGAAGATTTTACCTCATAGCCAACCCAAGCTATGGAGAGCAGAACAAAGATTGCAAGTGAGTTGGTAAACTTTCTGTAGAGATCCAGTTTTGCAATGCTTTTTCGTACCTACAGTATACAAAGGATAATAGAACCACAAACCTAATTGTCACGAGTCATGATGTAACACTTCAAATGAAGGAAAATTTCATCTCACTACGTCCCCATTGCATTCATTATTCTGTACTAGTGCAGAAGCCAAGTGCAAGAAAACACACTGTCAGTACTGCTACAACTTCAAAAATTTAACTATGAAATGATGTGATTCTTGTACATGTCAAGTGCTGAACTGAGTGCAATTCTTAAGAGTTGCCCAAATTAAGATTCCACAATTGACTAGGCAAAGTTATTGAGAAAGGTGAAATTGTGTGAACCATAAATTATTTCCATTAAAAGAAAGTGGAACCTTTTTTGGGACAAACCATAAAGGAAATGTGGAAAGTCCTGTTGGGACGGAGAGAGTAGAATACTGGGAAGGCTCAATGATTGGAATTAATTGAAGTAGGGAATATGCATAACACGCATGTGAGTGTTAAATTTAACTATAAAACGTAGTAAATTCAATATGCTGTATGGGATGCATGTGGAATGTAGATTGGTACATTTAAAATAAATTAAGCTTGGAATTGGGAACAATGAGTTCACAAGACAACTTATTCATGACACTCAGAACTAGTCATACATGAAAATGAATGGGATGCCAACGGAGGGACAAAAAGTGTCCTAGACAAGCTTTAGAATATGTCTATGTTAAACTTTATTCCCCTAATATATGCATGTAAATATGTTGTTTTAACACTTCTGTACTATCAATACTTGTACAATTTATATAGGCAGATGTGTATCCCAAAGGCTCAACTCACACAAACAAAAAAACCTTACCTGAAGCTTTTCTAGTGTTTTGGATAACGATGAAAATATCCATGAAATGAACCAGGCATCCAAGAAGGCAACAGGCAATACCAAATATAACCTAGTTTTTCTTGAGAAATCATTGATGTTGCCCAAGTGTTCAACAAGTTCAAGTGCCTCCAAGGAAATAAAATATATGAGAGCTAAAAGATATAATTTGGAAGTTACACCACCGAGGGTAGGTTTGACAACACCATATCCCATTGAGACCATCAAAAGAAGCGCACGTGATAAGGTCTTCTTTATTGAGCTAACTGTTACTGCCCAGAGAGTGATTGCCATTGGCCTCCTTCCTGTTGAATTAAGATTTGTATACTCAAAGTACCAGAGAGCCATTTCAACCATGCCAAGAGCAATAACTACTGTAATATGAGAATGCAATTGAATGACATCCTTCCAGTACTGTATAAATCTTACAAACCAGAAAAGACCAAGCACGAGATAAGCTAAAGATGAAATTCCATAAAAGGTCACTAAGGGGACCATTTTCCCAGGCAAATAACCATCTGGGTTTTTCCACACACTTCTTCCGCTAATGACTGTACCCTGTAGTTGTGGATCACAGAACATGAAATAGAGATAATACATGCCTGTACTGTTTATTTCAACCGATTGGGGATCCATTTTAGCTTCTTGGTGATCTGCTTCAAAAAATATCTGGATTCGTTTGGGCCACTCTGGGTTGTCAGGATGTCTCTGAATGATAACCTCCCCTACGGTGCAGAGTTTATCATCAGCAAGTTCTTTAGTGCAGCATATAGCATTAGATTTTGGCAATGAGTCTCCGATTCTTTCTCTGTCTTTCACTTCAAGAATGATGGCCTCAACCAGACCATTTTTACTCTGCATGGCACTTTTACTATCAATTGATTCTTTTGTCCTCACAAAGGTAATATCTTCAAACCTGAAAAATTCAAAAAAAGTTAAAAATCCAAAGAGACCCCACAGTGTCTACTAGAATCTTTAAGTACACCTCTCAACATTCCATATATACCGAATCCTAACAGAAAAGCAATATCAACAAATACTGATTTCACCAAGAACATCCATATTAACAGATGACTAGGTCACTAGAGGATGCTGGCATAAAATGCAAGACCATTGATCCACCACTCCACTCCATTGTAAAATTCATTTCGCTAAGGATCAAAACATTGTATAATAAGTTCGGTATCAACTAAATTCCATCTTAAATAGTAGGAAAGATGACAAACGATCATCAAACATAATCAAATCACCTAATCACTGACTAAGAGACTAAATTTTAGAATTCTATATAAACATAAAGATATAATCACAATTAGGCACTCCCTCCGTCCAAGAACCCAATTTCATTTTTCATTTGATCCCGACGGGCTTTTTCTTTGTCCCTGCAAACGAATTCCAATCACTCATTTTTTACAGTTTTCTAAGTCTTTGAATTCAAAAGGGATAAATCATTAGGGGTCGGCGGGAGTATATGCATAGAGCTGCGCGATTATGACGCGAGAATTAGATAGAGAGCAAAAGAAACCTGATGAAGGATTTTCCTTTTAGGGGTTTATCAATGGAGATATTAGCAGATGCGTGTTCGAGCTCGGAAGCGAAAAGGCCTTCAGTGCCTCCGTGGAAGAAGAAGGCGTTGGACTTCGGGATGAACTGCTCATTTCGGTACTCATGAACTGAAGCGGAGGCTTCTCTGATTAACGCAAGAGCACAGATTATCAGCGCTATGAATCCGAAAGCAAATCGAACGATTCTACGTTCCATCTATTGCCAGCTTTCTTTGGGTGAGACGGCGGCGCCGGCGCCGGCGGCGGTGGTAATGAGGAGGAAGAGGATAATTTTCTGGAAAGTGCCGCACTAGGCTATGGGTGGACGAAAAGAATGGTGCACTGAAGTCAGAGAACAAAACGGTGCCGTTTTTCACCCTCTACCCTTTTTATCTTTTGATTTGATTTTTGTTTAGAATTGAGGACTTCAATTTCGATTATGGTGTTTGGTAGCACAAAAATTATGTGGATTTAGAAATTCTAGTGCAAAAAATGAATTGGAATTGGTGAATTCAATTCTATGGAATTGAATCCCATAGAATTTCAATTCCAATTCAATTCTAATTACATCAATTCCGTATACCAAACGAACCCTAAAAGTAATTCATAAAGTGGAAAATTCACATTATCAAGTGAAGCTCTCCAATAAAAAGGGTTTAACGGCTTGTTATCTTCTAATCTGATTTAATTTGAATAGATGTAAATATAGTTATATTTAAAATTGTTTCAAATTTGATCTTATCTGATCTGCTTTGACACGAACTTTCCAATAGATTAAGTTGAAGAGAATCTCTCTAAGTAGGCCGGATCAAACTATATGTCGGGTCAAATTTTAGTCTATATCGAAATGGTACATTGTGAGAATTTTCTAGGGCCAAGTCTTACCCAACCAACAACGTGGACCTAAGAATTAGAACTTAAGCACGACCTACACTGCCTAGCAGGCATAGCAGCAGGCTCTGCCTTGGTCTCAGCCGGTCCACATTTATAATATTTCTTACATAATTAAACAATGGTTTTTTATAAAAAATAATATTATACGGATTACGGAGTAATATTAGATGTCCGATAAAAAACTTATGGAGAAAACACAATGAATTTAACAACTAATATATACAACGCGTTTTGTGTGATATTATTACTACCCCTCTGTCCTAAATTAAATTGTGTATTTGTTTTTCACATGATCAAATTTTATTTACTTTTGTTCCTATTTTTGTTAGTCATTTGATAAAATAATATAGTAATGTCACTACTAGTTTTGAGGATCTTTTGATGTAGTTTTAGAATAATTTTTTTGTTTTTTATTGTATGCCGTTTTTCATATAAAATGATTTGAAAATAATTTTAGTCAAGCATCGTAAACTGAAATAGGTGATTTAAATTGGGACAGAAGGAGTATTATTTTTTAAAAAATATTAAAGTGGAATGAATAACAATAATAAAAATACGGATATATATATTTGATTTTTTTGAGGTGTTTATTTGATCAAATAAGCTAATAAGTCTCTCTTCTACTAAACAGAAGAATGTGAGTGTGTTGATATAATAATAATAATAATAATAATAATAATAATAGTAACAAATATTATTGTTGTGATAATTATCGATATTATTATTATTAGCTTATAAGCATTATTATTATTACAAAGTACATTATATTATTAATAGTATTATGTTTGGCCAGCTCGGCCCGTGGTCTTGACCATTAAAGCTCGAGCCCGGCCCACAAGGTTGAGGGGCCCCATACGGATCAGACCCGTACTCCAAATATTCAAACCCAAGCTCACTATTTTGCGGACATGGTATTGCACGTAGATTGAGTACTCGTACATTTGATCGGGTCTACTTTTTCTTTTGTCTTCATTCTAGGGATGGACAAAAATAGTGGTTCGTTTTGAACAGGACAAAAAACAAGTTTTCAAATAGTTCTAGTAAAATATATTACGAGCCGAAATGAACCATTTTCAAAATGGTACGAGACGTGTTTCCAAAAAATAAACACCAAAGATATTGAACCGAATCGTTACCACTAAAATATTAAATTAATAAATTAATTATACATTTTCATTTGTTAATTTTTAGTAAGTTTAGATGATATTTATTTGGTGTGACTTTCACATACTTAAATTATGTTTTTTTAAAACTTTATTACCTTGAACTACAACTCGAATTACAATTTTATTTGTTAAAAATGCAAACTATGGTTAAATTTTTTTAAAATTGTAACTAAGCAATACACATGTTGAGGAAGAAACTAAAAATGCATAAAAATATTTGTGCACCAATTTTTTAAATTACGTCGAGTGTTTGTTATAAATAAAAATACTTTCAAAGCGTCGAAGTATTATAGAATGGTTTGGCATTAGTATAATAGTATGACATGGTACCATCCCGTTACCGAACATGATACGAATGAGTTTAGGCGTAAAACCGAAATCGTACCGAACCGTTTGAATAGTAACGGTATGGTAAAGGTTCTTTAAAAGGAAAATGCTAGGGGCACACCAAAAGTGTACCCCAAACATCCTCCACCCCCTCCATCACCACAAAAAAAAGCAAGAAAAATTCAAAAAAAAAATATAAAAAATAAAAATAAAATAAAATGAATGGTAGAAAGGGGAGTGGTGTACATCTGGGGTACACATTTGGTGTACCCCTAGCATATCCCTCTTTAAAAATATCGAACTGTCACGAACCATGTTCACTCCTACTTCACTTGGCGCCTGGCATCTTCCTTTAGTTTTACATCTTCTACCGGTGGATGTAGCTTGGTTGAGCAATGCGTGCCAAAGGCAAACTCGAATTCGATTTTTGACAATTGCGCAGGACAACTATGTTAAACATAAGACATTTGCAAGTACAAGATACATGCTCCACCTTTTGTCAGCCACTCTGTCACTATAACTCAATTTACCTTCTCTCAGACTATCGCCCGACCGGTTCAAAGGGGTCGGGATGGGGCTCATCCTTTAGTTTTTTATCTTCTTTTTCTTTCTTTTCTTGCTTTCATCTCATACACCAATTTTGTTTTCTTAGTTATTTTATTCTTCTTTTACGGAGCAATATTTGGTAAATGGTGAGATATGCCAACATTTTCCTTTAATCGTGCAAACCAAACAGATTTGCCTAGGTACCAAACCCAATGGGTACCAAACAGAAGGGTTAAAACGGCAAATGTGCATATCTTTATGTCTCCTTCAAGATGCTTGTATGTAGTAGTTTCACAATGTCTGCAAATATATAAGCCTCTTATATCAAACTCATTGAGCAATGACAGAAATTTGCAAACATCCATTTAAAATGGCATTTCAAAGGAAGAAAAAACCATATTGGGTACTTATGTGTGACAGGGAAACCTACTATGCTCGACTCATGTATTGCCCGGTTCTAGTGTCCACCAAAATCTCCTGTCCTCTTTCTATGAACAACGGAACATTAACAATGGCACCGGTCTCAAGGGTAGCTGGTTTCGTTCCACCTGTAGTTCATACAGCACAACATTAAAAACCAGAATCAGTAACACAATAATAAAATCACCATGTTGCTTAGGAAATCACATGCTCCATATTGGTTACAAAGTCTGGATAATGGCAACTAGCTAGAGCCATGACGAGAGGATAACATTTCGAGAGTATCTTGTGCTGCTTTGTAGGTATCAAACCCACCATTGTTTCATGATGAACCAAGTCATATCACTTAGGCTTCATTTGATATGGTTAACCTTATAAGTGCAATGATTCGCCTTAAACTTGAATGACCAATAGGCATGGTGCAACTCTACCACAAGTTATTTTCCTTGCTAAATGGTGTGTATCAACGATCCGAGAATGACTCAAGTGGGAGCTTTTGGTTATATTATTCTTAAATTGTTCTTTTTTTAATCACTTTCTTAAAATATTTTTGGAAATTAGTTTCATTTCATTTGTAATTATTAGTGTCAGTTATTGTAAACAAATATATTTGTTATATTATTTTTACATTTTTTAATACCAAACCTACTATTTTTTTACCAAAATACTTAAGCCCACAATAACTTATCATCAAGTCATCCTGTTAGAGTGCATCCCACATCAGAAGTCCAAGAGTAAAATAATCCGGTATATAAGCTCTTGAGTTAAACTAACTAATCGATTGGATTCAATCTTTTAATGTGGTTCAACCCAAGTGTCTTATTACTCAATCCAGTTGTCCATACCCATCCTAAATTCTATCATGGTATCGAAGCAGGTTTTGGCCCACCTCGTTTGTCAATGTGTCCGTCTAGACGTTCATTCCTAGCGGCTCATTTGTCTTTAGCCCAGTGTTCCGTACGGAGTATGTACCCAACGGCATGTGGCCCATTTAACACGATTGCTCGTCTGGAAGTCCATAACCAGCGGCTCGTGGTCCTTTAGGTGTTGGCGCTCAAAAAAAAATCAAGGGAATGAAAGTTCATTTGCAAGTGGTCAACCGGTTAGATTCAAAATGGCCCAGTTGTCCACTTGAGGGGGAGTGTTAGAGTGCATCCCACATCGGAAGTCCAAGAGTAAAATAATCCGGTATATAAGCTCTTGAGTTAAACTAACTAATTGATTGGATTCAATCTTTTAATGTGGTTCAACCCAAGTGTCTTATTACTCAATCCAGTTGTCCATACCCATCCTAAATTCTATCACATCCCACATCTACAATTATATCCCTTTTCAACGAGATTCAGCACTCATTTTTTTTAAATTAAAAAGTTTAGACACTAAACTATTTTATCAACTATTCAAATTTTAGCATACCTTGTACAGTGTCTCCTCTAAGACCAGGATTAACATCAACCACTGTTAACTTCACTGTGATTGGTAGTTCAAAGTCAATTACCTATAAAAGTATTAACATTATTAAACTAATACATGATGAAGTGATAAACTAATACTAAATGAGAAGTAAAATGTAAACATTAAAATGACAAGACAATTCAAATCCTCCAATATACTAATAATAGGAATTTACTTTTTCTTTCCAGAAGAGCAAATTGCATTGCATGCCCTCCTTCAGAAACTTTGTTTTATCTCCAACATCTGACTCATTGAGGCGAAACTCATCGTACGTACTCTGCAACATACATGCCCAAAATGGAAAGCAAAGATGAAGCTACCACTTCCTGCTACTTTGAAAGGAGGAATATGGTTCAATGTTGAAGATACGCCTGATATATGAAGATGCAGTATGTAGAAGTACACTTATGAATTGAAACGAAAGAAAATACTATACGTCTATACCATGTCCATGAACACAAACTGTGAACCATCTTTATAAGTGAATTGTTTCGTTTCCTTGAAAATATCTGCTTCTTCCACCTACACAAATATCCGAGCACACAGTTCATCAGTTACGTATGCGAAAAAAAGGCAAAATTGTTTAGTTGACTACGAGGACCATGCCTTCAAAACTCATACCTTACATCCAGCTCGAAATGTTTTCTCGACTGTGTTTCCCGTTACATAGTTTCGCAATGTGGTTCTCACAAATGCAGCTCCTTTGCCAGGTTTCACATGTAAAAACTCTGACATATGCCAAGGAGAAGAAGTAATTTGAAGGGTGAAGCAAACAGATTTCAACACAGACAAACCCTTCTAACATGACTACATAACATTTCTTCATGTTGATAAATAGAAAGACTCTGAAAGGGAAATTCAACAAAATATACCAAAAGGCAAAAGAAAACACTCTGCAAAAAGTCAGGAAATTCATCCAAACACGGGCGGATGAGAAAAAACGCGGGAAAAGGTTGATAGAAATTGGGGGGAAATTACCCATAACCCTCCAAGGACATCCGTCAACTTCAATGTTGCGGCCGATTTCAATATCATTGCTGGAAATCGCGTATAATCCTAAAAATTACAGTGAAGAAGAAACATCGAACCAGGAAAGCGGAAGGAAAATTTGTAGGAGTATGTATGAGGGGAGGAACTTACTAGGGAACTTGAAGCGTAAGGAGACAACATTAGGATGTAAATTGGGAGATGAAAATGGAAGGGACGGGGAGCTGAAAGAGGCGACAGAGGTATTGGGGCAGAAGGCCAGCTTGAGGCCGGCGAACCCGGCCATGGCAGTCGTCGATGACGGAGTGAAGGGGAAGACTAGCAGGATAAGGGCTTGTTTCCACTTTACAGTTGTCCCCCCTTCCGCAGAGAAGGTACATGGTAAGTAAAATGGTTGCTTTTTCAAAAGGATCACGCTAGCATGCTACATGCTAGGGTGCTACCACATGGGTGCTACCATGGGTGCACTCATGCTTCGCACAGACAAACACAGACGATAATTGTCTGTATCGCACAGACAATTATCGTCTGTGTTTGTCTGTGCGAAGCATGGGTGCACCCATGTAGTGGCACCCTAGCATTTTCCTTTTCAAAATGTCCTGAAAGCCGAAGGAATTATTACTCTACCCTAAAATAGATTTTATTTATTAGCCTATTCTTTCTATCAAAGTGAAATTACTCTCTTATCCTTCTCCCCTAAGCCATAATCACTACGTTATCGTTATCATACCGTTGCAGCAGCAGAGCGTCGTTTCTACCCTAGCAAAGAAATTTGTTATTCTCGTTTCGGCGGCGCGCCATTTCTCATCGTTTTCTATTCCAATCGATTGCATACTCTGACGCCTATCATCGGTCGCCGCTATTGTTAGTTGTTTCCCAGCTGTTCGCTGTTTGTTCCCAGTTGTCCACTTGTCCCACTGTCCCACTGTTCGCTGTTTTGTTCCTAGTTGTTCACCGTCTTTCGTTTGTTTCCACTAATTGGTGAAAGGCTCTTTCAACATAGGTACACATTCATCTAATTTTACAGTAAGGATTGTATAATTAACTATAGCCGGAGGAGAGTCGACATATATCTATTTTTTTACTGTATATTTCAAAGTCGACATTATCAATGATTTCTACAGTCGAAAACCTAGGGTCGACATAAGTAAAGTTGGTGTATTAGGTCGACATTATAATGATTTATTATTTTGGTTTATTAGGTGGACAGAAATAAGACGATTACATGTTTAATTCCACAGTATCTGATTTAGTCGACGTAATAGCTATTTGATCGACTTGTATTTCTAGATTTTCTGGATTCTATGTTGACAATTTTCCATGTAATTTCATCGATCACATTCTGAATTATACATTCTGAATTATGATTGTGTCGACGTATATAGATCGTCACAGTAATAAGGCGATTACATCTCTAATTCCACTTTTCCATGGAAGAAGAATGCTCCTAACACTCTACAAAAGAAAAAGCATTTTCTTAAAAATGATTGTAGATCATGAAGTCGACTTTCACCTTAGGTCGACTTTTACTCCAAAGATTATTAAGTTGACTCTTACCTTAAGTCGACCTTCACTTTAAACATCATTAAGTCGACTTTCACCTTAAGTCGACCTTGTACTTTAAAGTTTAGAACTTACCTTGACAGCGTTAAATGCATTGATTATGGCTTCGTGCGACGACTTTTTTGAAATTTTATTTTTCCAGAGACACATTCTCGGAAGTGCTGGATTTGTTTGCTCCCTCTTCACTCCAAATGTCTCTCCAAAATCATTAATGCACTAAATAGGAGAAAGTGCATGCACCAATAAATGAAGCCCAATTTAACCAATGAAATTATAGGAACTTTTAATACCAATTTAAATTAATTTACTCACGGATGAGGGGAGGACAAAGCCAGTGTAGCGAAGGGTGTTGGATGTTTTCCCGCCTTTGACAAGCTTCTTCTTTTCTGAAACTAAGTCTTTCCCCAAAGATTGGATACGGAGGGACTCCATGAATGCCCATGTCCCCCATGAAAAAGATATGAAATCATCAGAGTTTGCAACAGTGGCAAGGATCCATTTTGGAACTGGTGCATCTTTCTTAGCATGACCAATTAAAACGAGGACAACAAACATCAATGTCGCCACCTTCACTATCCACTGGAGTGCATACTCTTTCTTCCCTTCATCGTCAAGTAGCCGGCACAATTTCGAGAACCTCTCGACAACAGAAGTGTAACATACCACACTCTTTGACCAGTTTTCTTCAACGAAAACAGGCAGTGAATCCTTATCATACTTCTCTTCGTATCTGGAAGCTAGTTCTGAACATTTGAGTCCAGTAATCAAGGAAAATTCCATTAGAGAGTATCTAATGGGAACTCCATTTACTACAAACCACATTTCAGAACCTTTTTCTCCTTCCACATTAGCCTCCCTAACCATCAATTGTCATAACATGGCTGGAGGGGGAACAAGTTGGACATCAAGGAAAGCACCAAAAGGAGAATCTCTCCTAAACACTTCTAGGATTTCCATATGATCGCACAACTTTTCTTTCATCAATTTTTGGAAGTCTTGCAGTGAAGACTTCACAGTCATCTTCATATGTGGAAAGTCCTTTGAATTTACCTTCGTCTTTATTGCCGGAACCTATATAACGGCATATAATGTCAACGAATTTCATATGAAAAGACATGCAATTAGTGCAACCAGTTGGTCGACACTTATTTTAGAGTCGACCAGACCAAAAATTCATAAACCATTGTCCAGTGGTTATTTGGAGAGAGAATAATTCATTTATAATCAAGTTTCTAACCTCGAATGTTCCTTGTGTGGCCTTTGGGCTACCGTTGTGCTCTGTCATCGTCTCTTCCACATGATACTCATCGTTTCCATTCTTGGAGGAAGACACAGAAGCATTCTTCGTCCTCATTGTAGAAATTCATGGTTTTCCGAGATCGGTGACTTTGGATGGGTAGGGTTTCGATCAACTTTTGCAGGTGTCGAAGAGGGGGGATAGAGCACATACAGATCGAAAACTCAATGGTTGCACGATGAAGGAAGATGTTTATGGAGGGTTTTTATTTAGTCTCTTCTGACATCGTTTCGCCCATTCTCGGGTTTTTTTATTTAAATTTAAATTTGAAACGTCGTTTACGCTTCGTTAAATGGCATAACTTTTCATTTTCTAAGAAGCGCGTCGATCATACATGCCTGGACATTTCCGTCAATTCACCTTTACAGGGTAGTCCACCAAATACAAAACATTTACAGCGCATTTTGATAACTTTTCCAAGTAAAATATCGCACAAATATAAATATTTATTAAAAATCAACTTAAATAGAACTAAAACATAAAGAAAAAGTATCAAAATAAAATTTTCATATTTTTTTTCGAAATAGAAATTTGCACTGTGGTAATGTGGCACTGTACGTGTGCATATTACTATACTATAATGTGGCACTGTACGTGTGCACCGGATACTTTTTTGATAATGTACATGACCATGTTTGGTAATGTAAGTCCTATTTCAAAAATAAAAACATGGAAGTTCTATTTTGGTATATTTTCAATGTTTTAGTCCTACTTTGGTTTTTCTCTATTTTGAAATAATGTGATATTCTTTCGGAAATAACATAATATTCATTCTGAAATAAAGTGATATTCATTTTCACACATTTATTTAAAACAATTATAATATTTAATTACGAATAACGTAGTGTACATTTTGAAACAAAGTGATGCTCATTCTCAAATATAGTGTTCATTATCAACTAACTTATCGTTCATTTCACTCATATACCTCTTTAATATGCAACCCTTCTTCGCTGAAATCTTCATAGTCGGACCTAGGGTTTCAACATTGGGGACTTCCTTATTTGTAATGCAGCCATTTTCGCCACTATCACCTTCGCTTCGCTTCTCCATCATTTTCGCCACCATCGATCCTTGCAATCTTCGTTGCTCCATCTGCTCCGTGCAACCTTCGACTCCTTCGAATCACAGCCAGTTGTACACAGAGATAGGTGCAGGTCGTGCAGCCGACTGTATAATATAATTTGCGTCTTTCAACATAATTGTTATAAATTTAGATTCTTAAGATTAATTTATACTAATATATTTTATCTAAACACTTTTAATTAAAAATATTATTCACAAAGATAGTCAAAATTTCACTCTTTTGGTTTGAGCTTTGAAATTAACAAAAACTTAGGGTGACAATCATTTTGTCGTAATAACTCTCAAGACCATATTCTCCAAAACGATGAATTCCAGACTCAAAAAAGAATAAAAACATAATGAAAATACTAAAATAGAAGTAAAACATAGTCCTTCTGTGACACTCTACATAATCTTACTGTCACCATTCACATTGTCATATTGTTATCACATTGTTAAATTTCTGTTTAAATGATCGAAATAATGGCATACCTATTTGGTATCTTGATGACATTTTACTCATATTTAAAGACATTTTTTTTCTAAAAACCATCGACCAATTAAAATTAATTGCAATCTCTAAAGTGGGGACAATCTGGCCCCTCCTCCGTTAGTAAGTGTCAAAAAAGGGCTCGGTAGATATAAACGGATGTATAATATACTCCTCATTATTCCCTTATTGAACATTGACAAAGCTCTTGGGGACTATTGATGTTGAACAGGCAAAAGAAGATGCCAACAATTCTAGGGTTTTTTCTGGACTGAACAACGTATTTGTGCTCTCCAATTGTTAATTGGTGTGGAAATGAAATACTCCAATTTGTTTATTTGTAGCATGATTGAGGTGCAAATTTGTTTAAAAGAAATTACCAAAGCAAAATGAAAGCATATCGATCAAACGATAACCCCAGAGAAGTGTAATTGAAATCAAATGGAAGGTTATTTTTTGTTCCTTCATGAAATTTAGATCCAATTTCGGAATCAAGGTAGGTAGGCTCTTCCAGGAACAAAAATTAGCCATAGAGTAACCAAAACATCATCATCATCATATACAAATACACGGTGAGTTTGCACCAATCAAGAAGAGAGAATATAATCCCTCCTTTATATGATGAAAACTAATTAAATCCAAGGGTATACATATATATATCTACATAGTAATGACATTCATCATCATAGTTTCATACTTGAAGTATGGCATGGTGGGAGGAAAGAAAACACTATGAAGCAAGCTAGCTTGACCCATAAAATTCTCCAGATCTTTATCTTCTATATTCCATTCAGAATCACCTTCCAATAGAGGAAAGCAGAAATCCTTCCCAAGAGAAAAAAAATGAACTTGTTTATGAACAATCAAAACCCTTCAACACTGGATCTTCGTACGGACGAAGACCCAGATCTCTGACTCTCCAGCCGGTGCAACTCCTCCAAAGAGATAGAGGAGAAGGTTCTTGATCTGAGAGATAAGGGCATTGCGGCTTTTCTTGGAGGAGAAACGGGCTGTCTGCTCGGCTGTGAAGGTGAAAGACTTGGTCTTGCAGGGGCAAAGACAATCCCATTTAGACTATGAGACTTCGACATGTGCTTCATGCTCACTCTCACCGGCTCCTCAAGTGGAAAGAGGGAAGGGTACTTCATGTCTTGTGCAGCCTTGAGTTGCTCTACTATGGTTCTCATGATGGGTCTTTCTGAGGGGTCCTTATGCAGGCATCTTTGGGCAATATCAGCAATTGTCCGGGCAGCTTTGGCTGGGAACCGGCCTTTCAGCTGAGGGTCCATGATAAGCGATAGCCTGCAATCATCCGCTAGAAAAGGCCGGGCCCACTTCACTAAATTCATTTCTTCCTTGGGATGACCGCTGTCCAGATTCTTCCTGCCTGTGAGCAACTCGAGAAGTACTATCCCAAAACTCCAAACATTGCTCTTAGGAGTTGGGAAACCCCTCTCCAGTGCTTCTGCTGAAATATTTGCGACTCCCTGAATAAATGAAACCATATTACGGAGTATTTCATTTAAAAAAGGCTTGTAAATCATTATTTTTCTGTGAATTTAGAGGCCCGGGGAATTAATGGAATAGATAGTGTGCATCATGCTCTTACAACTGAACTAGAACAGATGCTGCTGGTCTCTTGAATGTGGGTGACACAACCATATCCTGAAAGTTTTGCACTAAAATCCTTGTCAATCTGTATATTTGCAGTTGAAAATTCATGGAACATTGCCTGTGAATACAAAACGAATATTCTGTAAGCACATAAGTCTGCAAAGCATCAGTTAAGAAAAACAAAAAAAAATGACACGTTGAACTTTTTTTTCCCTCCGACTTTCTATGAAGCTTTGGGTAGTAAATGCATCTATTAAACTATTAGTAATTTTGAGACAACGGTGTTGATGACCTGAAAAGGGCCTTCCTCGTGCAGGAAAGTGAGACCTTGTGCAGCACACAAGGCAATTTTCATTCTAGCATTCCAGTCCAAGGGAGGGCCACCAGATCTGCCAAATAGGAGCCCGTCTAAGCTTCCGTGGAAAAGCCGTTCATAAACCAACATCCTCAGCACTGATCCTTCCCTTGCATGAAAACCAATTAGTTTACAGAGTGAAGGACATTGCAGTGAATCTAGTCTGTTAACTTCAGTCACAAATTCCTTGAATCCCTGAGAAACCAAACAGATTTTTGTCAAAATTGGGATGGCTTTCTTCATAGATTTTTGTTGCGTGACATGATGGATAAGACATAGGACTACTTTGCATTAAAGGCTCTAAAAGTGAAAGTTGAAACTATTTTGCAATGGTCGTCCAATTTAATCTATTTTGGTTTGTACCGTTAAGAAGATGGAAGGGTATAGGACCTCTAGAAAAATAAAGCTACATATTCCTGCAATATAATCCTTCCAAAAGAAGTACGAAATGTAACGAGCCGAGTAGGTAGAGAAAACATGAATATTGGAGTGACCAGAAGCTAAAATACTAGGAGAGCAATAAATAAGAGTGCATTTGGGATTATTTATTTTAAATGAGCAGTGCTTGAAGGAAAAGAGTACAGATGGATTGCAAGTAGGTGGTCCACTCATGCGAACATTTTCAGTTATTTGAGTACTTTTTACTTGGTATCTGAAATTAAGATTTCCTTACACTTGAGTATGTTGAGTCGGCCTTCTGTGCTTTCAACTATAAGATTTCAAAATTTGACAAAGTCTGAAATTAAACCACGTGTTTCAAAATTTAGTTGTAAGAAGAATTAAATAGCCAAAACCCTAATGCCATTGTTTCACTCCACCCACATGGGTTGCAAACTTGATTATAATTTTTGTTGTGATATCACTTTTTTGCTCCCTTGTACTCTGACTTAGATCCAGATTCAATACATTTCTCAAAGCCTTAAATTGTTTTCATATTAAACATCTTCGGGGGGCAGTAGACAACAATATTACACAAGGTCTATTTTACTAATTTTCAAATGACATTGTTTTTTTTGGCTAAGTGGGTAACAATGGGGTTTTTTCCAAAGAGTAATTTCACAGTTTTACTTCAAAGAGAAAGGTTTGGAAGCAAAATGAAAAAGAAATGCATTTAGTAGTAACAAAGAGCATGTTTAGTGCTTATTGAATAACGCAGCAAACTTGATCTTTTTGAAAAAAGGTCTTCAATTCCTTGAGTGTATAAATGAGAAAGCAATTCCACTGTAAGTTATCTCAAACAGTTAGCTATAGACAGTTCACAACTAAACATTACCTGAGAAGATGGGTTGAGAAGAGTGACAGTTGCATCAAACTTCATTGCATCATCCCCAAAGGAAGCATTGTAGATAATAGAAGAAAGACCTTCCGACGTGCATAACCCAGAGGTGAAGTTGTGGCAGGCGGCTGCAATCTCTTCATAAGAAAAGTTCCGGAGGTTTCCTGCAGAAGACAACACGGGAGGCAGTGGAAGTGGGCCCGAGGAAGCATTGAAGCGTCCACTTGAATTCATAATTTTAAAGCTTCCCATAGTCTTCAGCGAGGCAGTATTTTGCGGTGAGGGGAGAGGAAGAGGTTGAGGATCATTTGACATGAAGGTGTCTTGTTCTGCTTCGTCCATGCCTGATGGGGAAGAGCGCACTCTAGTTTTAAAGCTTGGTGGGGCAGACCGGAATGCCCGTGTTCGTGTCTGGGGCTCGGGCAACACGGTAGGTGAATGTTCTTGAGGATTAACGCGTTTGGCATGGCTAGTCCTATTCTTGTCTGGCTTTTCCTTTTTACTCTTCAAAACAGTGAAACACCCCATCATCAGCCCAAACTTTTACTTAGCAGCCAGGACTAACCAGCCTGTTTGGCCTGAACACTGAAAAAGATGACGCCTTATTAAAAGGAAATATTGACGGAGCAGTACACTTTACCACTATGTTTGGCTCAAGGACTTTGAAAGGGAAAAGAAAAGAAAATGAGATGGAAAACTATTTTTCTTTTTTGGTTGGAAAGGAAAAGAAAAAGAGAAGGCAAAATGTACTAAGAGGGGAAACCAAATTCCTCCCATTTTGGTGAGGAAAATGAGAGAAAACCGTTTTCTTTTCTTTTCCTTCCAAATTTTCATGAACCAAACATAGTGTACAGAATATCACATAAAGTATTTCACACACCTTTAATTGATCAAACAAAGAAGCTTTACATAAAGGACGCGGTCCGGTAGGGGCAGGAACACATTATATGTACACAGCCTTGCCCTGACATATTTTGCCAAAAGGCTGTTTTCTAAGCGGTTCGAGCCCATTTTTAAGCTTCTTCACATCGAACGAACACATAACTATAACCAACACATTCCCAGAGACTATCCACCCATTCTACATATCTACATCTAAATTCTCAGAGAGAATTGCATAAGATGCCAAGATTGAGGCAGATCTAACCTCAACTTTCTGGGCCACAAAGAACTACAGATAAAAGATTGAGGAATCTAGGATACACCAAACACATCATAAGACACATGAATCAGCAAGAGACTAAACAAATCCAGATCCAAATATAAATTCTCTTTGCTTGTTTTAACACAATCTAGTCTTAAAAGTTAACAGCATACTAAAAAAACATAAATTAACTAAATCTTGATTCATCGAGAAAGAGAAAAAGAGACACACGATAATTTATTAAAATCAAGGGAAAAGGGCATGTGAAATGGAAGCTTTCTTGCCATTTAAAATTATCAAGAATCTGGAGTTCCCTCAGATTCTGACGAGGTGACATCAAGAAAATAATTGAAAAGCATATTACCTCAGCAAATCTAACTGATTTTGAGGTCTCTTTAAGCATAAAGACTGGATCTTTGCGGATGAGAAAGCTGCCAGTACAATGTAATCGATCTCTGCGGAATAGAGAAGCCCTAAAAGAACGAGTCAAAATACGCAAATGGAGAAAAGCAAAGAGCAAGTTTTATTGAGGAAGAAAAAAGCAAGATTGCAGAGGTGGGGGTGGGGTGGGGGTCCATAGGAATGGAGCAGTCAAACCAACCAAAAATCCAATGAGTGAATCTCTCTCTCTCTCCCTCATTCAAGAAAGAAAAGATGTCATCGTTCAACGTTGTGTATTAAGGACTACGGAGTATCTTTATCTCTAGCTAACAACTGCACATTCGCTAGATGGAGTTGCAAACTTGCAATGAAATGATTTTTGAGAAGTGAAACAACAACGGGGAGTATTTGATAAAAATTATTTTTCAAATAATTTTATTTAAAAAATGGTACAGAATTATAGAATAAAACTCAAACTCGATCAAAATATACACAAAACTAATAGTGTCATGACTATATTATTTTATTAAATGACTAGAGAAAGAAAGTAATCTTTCCATTTTTTTAAATTCTTTTTAATTCTATACAGTTCGTTTAACTTTTTTTAATTTCTTGCAACATTAATTTTAAAATATTTATCTTAATGTATTTTTTATATCGTTCTTATTACAATTATTAGCGACATCATTATTAGACCATTGCTATGGAGGGACTTGACGGGGCTTGATGGTGTATACAGAAGTATGATGTGGAGTGATAAAAATAGAAGAATTTACGTAAATATCACTAAAATATAATGACTTTTCCTAAATAGCATCACACGTGTTTTTTTCCAATGTAGCATTTTTAGTCATTATACATTAGTCATTATTCAAGTAAATGTTCGTCATCACTGAACATTATTAAGTGCTATTTAAGGAATAAAATAGTTTAAGTGCTATTTAGGAAAATGACTTAAATTTTAATGCTATTCAGTGCAAATATTTTATAAAAATATGTGTTAGGGTGGAGGTGAATGACGTGATGAGGTGTAAGTGAAAACTTTTATTGGTCAGAAAATTACATTGAGCACCGTGAGAAGATTCAATCTGGACAGAGAGAGTATTATCAAGTTCAATAAATTTCAGATCTAAAATATGTGTAATTATTTTTTAGAAATTTTATATGATAAAAAATGCAACTATTTTTCTACTTTTTCGAAAATAAATTAATTTGATAATTTGAGTCATTTTTTATTTTTTGGTTTTTGTGTAATGCATCACATGTGATTATTTTTATTGAAAAAATAGAAAATAAAATCATTTGAAACTTAATGTTTTTTACCCATGTGTTTTTAATCTCTTTTACTTGAAGACCTAAGTATTTTTTTTGTGTTCCATAATTTTTAATTAGTTTGGTCTATTTATAATCAAGTAATAATGTAAGAATAATCTATAGACTTTAAGGATCTAAACAAATCTTGATATATATAGTAACAAAAAGTATCAAAATTTGTATAACTCCATCAAGAATTAAAGCAGAATTCAATTGATTTTACATGATCAATGGATTATTAAAAGATGGCAAATTATATGGTACATCCAGGTATACCTTCCTTTAGGTACATCTTGGTATTTTTGTAAATTTTGCAAACTTTTTATCTAATGTCATGAACATACATGAGACTATTATATATGACAATGAGTACCAAAAGATTTGAGAAAGAGTACCAGCACTTATGAGAATTATCACATTTTTATTCAATACAAACATGAATAAACCTGGGTTTTAAATTCTTCATGCTCAGAGAGTATAAATGAGTAGGAACGAATCGAATAGAGGAAGAAGTTGATAATGGTACTGAACTTTTTAATTGTGAAAAAATTGAACAATACTTTATTTCAGAATGAACATTTGCTTATTTAAGAATGAGTATTGTTTTTTTAAAGAATGAACACTACGCTATTTATTATAATTATATTAGATAAATGTGTAAAAATGAGTACTTCTTTATTTTAAAATGAGTACTACCTTTGCCAAAATGAGTACTACATATTTCGAAATGAATGTTTATATTTGTACGAGAATGAGTACTACTTTATTTTAGATTGAGTACTACCGGATGTACCTATTTCTAGGTACATCCGGATGTACGATATACCAACTCTTAAAAGATTGTCATAATCTTTTAAAATTCTAATTAAATACACCCTTAAATAAAAGGGATCATCTTAAAAAATACTTAATTATGAAAGATTATTTTGAGAACTTACTCTAAGTTTAAATAATGAAAAGTATCAACAAAGTTTTTTATGGACTACTATTGACAAAATAAATTTCAATTATAAAATACTGAGTACCATGTAGGTAATGTGGAGTATTACTTATTAATGAGTGGTTTGGATAACATTTTATTAAAATAGACCATTTTGATAAGGGTCTCCGTTTGGTACAACGTTGGAAGTTAGCGTTAGCATTTTGAAAATACTATATGATGGTAGCCTTTAGTGTTAGCATTTCCAAAATTAATTTACACCATTAAAATTGTATCCAAATTGTTTACGCTAATAGAAAATGTTGTTTCCAAACAAGGCCAAGTTAGAGTTTGTTTTCTTGGACTAATTCGTATCACTAATTACGTAATCTTACTAGGACCAGATGAGAGAAAGATTAAAATAGAAGCAAAACATAACATAGAAACCAAAATATGAGTCTCACTTTTTTATCCTCAAAGCAGGACCAAAGATTTTTTAAAATTCACTTTAATCCATTAAAAAATCAACTTTGCACATTTCTCACTGTAATGATACGATGACTATACAATGTCAGTTGAAGCTATAATGCCAAAGATAATAATGCATCTTTATTTATAAAAAGCCATTGTGTAAAACATGAACAGTGACGATTCAGGTCTTAATGTGCTCGGGTTGAATATTGGACCAGCGGATATGTAAAATGGGCTGAGTGATGGGAAATGAAAGTTTATGGAGCAATGTGATATTAATTCAGCTGCATTGAGAGTGTGTTCAATAATGCATGGGAAAGAGAAAAAAGGTGATGCGGCCTGGAAGATGAAAATTAAACTTTATGGAGCAATGTGATATTAATTAGGCTGTGTTGGAGATTGTGTAATCTGTCTTGTCTTCGATATTTTAAAAGAAAGTATTTGGTATAAAAATCCATCACTATCTCCACTTTTATTAACCAAATAAAAAACAAATCAAAACTTCCATACTATTTCTCTTCTTCAAAATAAAAAATATCATCAAATCGAGTTTCAAGAGGTTTGTGGGCCAAGCTTGCTGATATTGATAGACATTGAAACACAGTAGCCATTCATTTGAGAGCCATTCGTGCTTATGAAATTAGTTCTTTTGGTAGAATTGGCGAATCAATGAAGGTTATTTTCCAAGACAATCAAGTATGTTTCTTCGATTTTGTTACTTCTTGATTAAGGTTGTATACATCACGATATATTATACATGAAGAAATTGACAATTGGTCATTACTTTCCTACATCGATTCATTTGATAATGTTATACGTAAAAATTGGAATTTACAATGTAATAATTTAGTTACAGACATGAGCACGTAAAAGGGAAAACATTTCATTCTTTTCTTCATGAATAAAAATAGTGCATGAATCAATTAATACTGAATGAATTAACATCCGATATAAAATAGGGTACAACGATTCATTGCCATATGAAAAAACCATAAAAATCACTTTAGAAAGAACAAATTATGGAGGGAGGAGTTTATGGTATCAAAAATCTATTGATCCATGATAACTATCAGACCTACAAGACAACACCAAATCTTTTTATGTTGGCTTTCTTTAGCCAAACTGGTGTGAAGACCATGAGTTCACAAGGCTTTGCTGATTTCATGTATGAGATACGTTCCTTTGATAGTGTTCGTGAGCAACCAATCTTGAGAGATGCTTTGTTGATAGGTATGGTAATTTGTCTATAATGTGCATATAATTTATTTTAATGAAATAAACTCTAATTATATCATTTTTAGATGTACCTAGAAAGATCGTTGGGCGTTCGAGTGTGCGGACACACATCACTCCACACAAAGAGGACAAATTCATGGAGATAACTTTGGAGTCACGAGTTTGTTACTAATTCTACATTTGCCCATATCTAATAAGTATTTTTTGTAATGATAATTTCTATAACCAACGCAGGGGCAAGCCTTTGAATTACACATTATGGGGAAAGTATGTTGATCAATTCAACGATTATGTGAATCTTGACGTGCCTTTATCCTTCGATGGCCCTTCTGAGTTTCTGTAGGGCTAAGAGATTCAATGGTCAGTTGCCCAACCTAGTTTTTGGTTTAATCTTACATTATATGCAGGCGTGGTTAGTCTTTTTACCGTGTATGACGTTACAAAAATTGTTTTTGATGGAATCTCGAATGAAGTGGTCGACTTCAAGGCAAAGTAAGTAAATAGAACAACAATTATGAAATCAAACTTATACAAAGTAGCTCATAATTTATCAAATCACCATACTGATATCTCTCAAATTTGGGAGATATCGAAACCCATCATTTGAAGGATTTATGATATCTAGAGATATCGAATCCAATATCCTTTTTTACTTCACTAAACACCCAAAAAGAATTTTGATATCTGGAGACATCAAAATCCATATCTTGTTGGCTCACCAAACATCCCCTCAGTGAAGTTTTAAAAAGAATGGTGTTCCTTTACTCGTTTGATTATTCGGCGGATTCAAAAAGAGTGGCTTCTCCGTTGTAGAAGAAGAAAATTTATTTGTTGAAGTGTTTAGATAACACTTGAACAAAGATAGCTTGATTATGTCTTGTCCAAGCTGGGTATTCTAAACTCCCAAGCTCTAGCTTGAGGGCGGGGGTGTTGGTGTGAGATATTAGAAAAGGAAACTGAATCCCTTTGCAATTTGGTTTAATATGTTTCTTAGTTTGCTTAATTCTTCTTTTATGAGTAGGGATAGAAATATCCTTGTTTGATTTATCCTCTTCCTATATTATGTGAATTAATCATTCGTATTCCATAAGTCAATTCAATACAGATAAATTTTCTCCTCCTATTATTTTCTACAATTGGCATCATTCTTACCTCTCATGTCGCCTATGTACTGATCGAATTCTTGATCACTCATAGCGTCGCTCATGAACTGCTCGGGAATAGCAGGAAAAGAAGAGACAAAGTGTCTCCCTTGAAAAACACGTGAGCTCGAACCTTCGGAGGTGGTGTGGGCTTTGCCTTTTTTAGAACCTCCATGTCCACGTTTTACAACGCTCATATC